GTCATACTGATTTTTGTCTCGAGATATGAAATCGTTGTAGTAGTTGCCGATGATGGATATGAACAAAGTGTCTACAAATGCTACCCTGTCTTTCAAGTATATTTCACCTCTACGTCTCCAAAGCATGGCCATTATGACTTGCATGTGCTGACAAATAACAAAACATAAATAACAAATATTACAGATAATTAAAGATTGAGTAAGTACTAACTATATACTTACCATCGTGTTAACCCACTCAGTAGGCTTCGCAATTTGTAGGAAGAATTGATTGTTGACAGTATGACAGTGACAATGCAAAAGTCGCTGTAATGAGAGCAATTGGTAATTGATAACAATGAAAGTTTAAGGATAAATTGTTTTCAATACGATATAACTTACATGTTTCTTTCACGCGATAATAACTCCTGGAATGCCTTGAAGTGGTCTTGTTCCACTGTTTCGAGTGGTTTGTACGCAGCTTTTGATCTGGATCCAAATAGAGCTTTCACCTTTGAATCTGCGGTGTAAATATCTCGAATCTTGTCCGACCGTACGCGTGCACCTTTTCCTCTACCTCTTCCGCCTCTTCCTGTTCCTCTACCATTTCCTCCTCTTCCTGTTCCTCCACTTTTTCTCTTTACACCAGACGATCCCTCAACTTCTTGTGGGGGTTTTGGAGTACAAGGGGTCTTTTGCGAAGCATCACTTGCATCCTCAGGCGCAGTATGGTAATCTTTCCCCGCATTTGAGTCGTCCTCATTAGCCACAGCCTACACACCACCGTAACAATAGAGCGTATAACATATCAATTGTATACCTAGCGTATACCTAAACACTACTGTATACACATGCATATCATATGAACAACTTTAATGTCTGACTTGTGCATCCTGCGCATCTGTCTGCGCTTCATTTTTCTTATATGCGTAGCTCAATGGGTGAGGAGTCTGAGGTTTGTACACTACTAAGGTGCCTGACACCAAATTTGTTCTACCACCATCCACCTGAATAAGTCATAAAAAACATAGCACAATACACACACGTTATGAAACTTAATAGAGTCAGCTGCTGACTAAACAATTAGCTCACCTCGTTGAGGCCAGAAGGTGGATCTTCATCCGGATTGACAAAGTAAGGAGGTAGATGAGTTGTTCCTGAATTGGCTTGTTCAGGTTCAGGGGTCTTCGTCGGAGCTTCTGGAGTCTTCAAGTACGCATGGTCCCTGGGAGAATAATGGTCGCCGCCGTAGTAACTAGAGGTCCCTTCTTCATCATCTCTTTCTTTCTCGTGTACACCATCTTCGGGGTGTACACCATCATCATGGCGTACGCTAGACTGTGCACCATCATAACCTCCTTCTTCACCTTCATCTTCGGCTTCGTCTTCATCCAGTTTTTGACCATCTTTTTTTGGATTCTGTCCTTCGTCATCCTGTTCCCCATCTTCTTTTGACTGGTGTACATCGTCATCTTCTTCGTCCGGTTGGTATACGACCAATCTCTTGTCCAACTCTGTCTTAATCTTACGAAGGAGCAAATTATTCTGACTTACTATCCATCTTTTAAGATCTTTAATCTGTCCACTTTCAGGGGTTTCATCTTCCGATAGATTAGAAGAGTTCTTGCCCCTGCCTCTCTTCCTCTGCATCTTACGTTTTTTAGTTTGATGAGTTTTCAGTTTCTTCTTCGGTCGGGTGGATGGCTCAGGTTCCTGTTCATTGGTAACCTCGTCCTCTGCATCACTAATATCCACGATAGGTGTCGGTGCCACTGCAAAATCCGAAGTTGTGAATTTGTACCCCTCGGCCATGAGTTCCTGCATGAATGCAACTTCGACATCCTCTACCTCATCTCCCCAACGCAATTCATTCTGTTGGTCATTGTCACCATCATCCACTACCATCTGTTTGACAGACAACTAAGACAAAAAAAAAACAATTGCAAAATTACCAACCAAAATGACAGAGCACTTATCTTTTAAGACAAGTACTACAAAATAAGACTACAAATAGTACTAAATATAATACTACAAATAATTTACCAGAGGGTCGGATTCCACGGCAAGTATGTCCCCAAGATGCAATAGTGTGATAACGTTTTGACAGCCTTCGGGATCTTCAACGAATGTCTTCAAGTTATCAGGTTGAGGAATTTTGGAAACCAACATTGGTATAGATTGGAGGGCCATGAGTTGTAGTGATAGAGGGAATCCATAGCATGCACTGGTTTTCTGTTTAAGTTGACGGCGCAATCGTGTTACATGATTCTCCCTTTTCTCGGCATCCGTGATTGCCTTCGGAGCTTGAAAACGAGATACTGTTTTGTTAAAGGATACCCTCCCCCATGGATACAGCATGAACCTATCCAAGTCAGTCAACATCTCAACGTATTTCTCGGTGAGGGCCAGATTTTTGCTATTGCAAAACAGAACACCGTCGACAAGAACGATTAGGGCCAATGGAAGCCGTTTCCATCGGGGTAGATCCGGGTCCTTTAGCATTTCAAGCACATCAAACATGTTCATAGCCTTCGCTCTTCCGAACAGGTCTTTCCAGATTCGTGTCTTTCCGACATCTTCTTCTTCTTTTATGCTATCAGGTTCGGGATTGCAATTCAATCCAGTGATTTCCTTAAACTCCCGTATCGAATATCTCAGAGGCTGTCCACCAAAGAGGAACCAAATCTCGTGTTTCTTCGTGGTCACAAGTTGTCGTGATAGAAGGGCATGGACTAGTTTGGCGCTGTTGCAACATCTTGCAACAGGTAGATGGAATAACTTCCCAAACTGGGAATGAAGTAGCTTTTCAAGATCTTCAGTACCCTTTAACGTCTTGACAAGGAGGCCAATGATATTGGCCTTTGAATATATGTTCAACCGAGCACCAACGGGGTAGCAACCATCGCCGAGGACCCTTTTTGGTAGTTTTTCCGAAATATTGTTTGAAGATTCTCCATCTTCCATGCCTGTATTCGAAGGTTCTCCGTCTTCCATTCCTGTATTTGAACCAAAACAACAATTTCGAAATGCAGGAAAGATATAATATTCTGGATAAACAGTTAAATGCAACCCAGGGGAAAAGTTTGAGGGAAAGGAGTTCGAAAGAGAGAACAGAGATCTGGAAAAACTACCCTATTCGTATGCTCTCCTATATAAACTTCTGTAACTGTTTCTAGATGATATAATGTAATCCTATATAAACTCCTATATAAACTTCTGTAACTGTTTCTAGATGTGGAAAACACGAAGAAGAAGAAGACGTGATAAAAAAACCTAAAGAAAAATAAGTAAGAAAAAATATATAGAATGAAGAAAATATAAAAGAAAATGAAAGAAAACTAAGAATACGTGAGAGAAAAAGGAGATATAAAGGTGGAATACTACAAGAAAACATCAAAAAATCCAACAAATAATTTCAACGATAGTAATCGTTGAAAATTTTCCATCAATAATCTTACAATAGTTGAACAAAAGTTAATATCGTTAGAAACTCGTCACAATATTCCAACAAATATGGGTTATCGAAATTGCGTCAGATAACTTGTTAGTAAATTGTCAAAAGTTTCTAACAAAACAAAGCTCATCAGAAATCACCAACAACATTTAAGTTATTGAAAATTACCAGCATATTATTCGTCAGGAATTCATCACTTTGTCGGTGAGTTCGGTTCCAACGATTTGCCAACAAAATTTTTGTGGGAACCGTTCTAACTATCTTTATCTCTAAAAAAATATTGAAATCAAAATTTTTGTCAAACCGATTGGATCACTCAATCAGTTAATTAATATTTTTATTAGAAATTTTATAAATATAATATTAATTATCTTCAGAATAATATATGAACCATATAAATTATACCTAATATATGATAAACAATTAAAATTTTAAAATCGTTAATTAGAGATGAACAGTAACGAAATTCTCCACAACAAGAAAAACATATATTATATATGTATATATATATATATATTAATATATCTAAAATATATTAAAGAGGAAGCACAAAAGTACACTTGGCATCACCACAATTAAAGTTAGCATTTGCTGAATTTATTAATTCATTTGTTTCGAATACAAAAAATGTTAGAGGTAATACATTCTTTACAATATTGCCTTCCTTATTTGTCTCAAACGATTATATAAAGCCATCACAATAATTCATTGGTTGTTAATTAGTAAAAACAATTAATCTATTACTCTATACCCTTAAACGATAATGAAAAACTTGCTTTACAATTATTCTTTACAATTATTAAATTGTATATTTAACGGATTTCTGCTTACAAATTTATATTACTTTTCTAATACTATATTACTATGTGAATATACAAATTTATGAAAATAATACTATATTACTATGTGAATATACAAATTTATGAAAGTATAAATGTTTTATTCACATTTATATTACTAGATGAGTCGAATAGATTATAGGATAAAATTCATGAAATGTAAAAGCTACACACGAGTATAATATTATAAACACGAATATTTAAATAATTTCTGAAATAGTTTAAAAAGTTAAGAAGTTCCCTCCATAATAAATTCTAAGATTCTCTAACCATATATTTTCCGTTCCTAATTACCCACTACCTCCTATATCAGCGCTAACCGTAGAGATATCTAAAGTAATTATCACTTTCCCGTCTATATCTCTTATTTATCTAAAAACAAATCAATTTATTTATTCTCTATCCATAACAAATTCGCATATTCTTAAAATATATTCTGAAATCTATAAATTAATATCACAAACTACAAAGATAGTAACAAAATTTTTAATTTATACTGTTCGCACTGTTTGAATTTATGAATTTTAAATTATACCTTCCACCATCTATATTCCCGCTTACCATATATTTCTAAAACATTATTGTTACTAATATTTTCTTTCTATTCCCTCAAACTAAAAAATACTGTTCCGAAGCCCTAAAATTCTCTCTATAAATACATGATTGTTTCTGTAGTCATTTCATATACCAAAAACCTCTACTCCCTACAGCCTTGAAAGTTCTTTCCAATGGCTTCTATAACAAACCTATACTCTCTTAAGCCTTTCAAAACCCAGTGGAGAGTCCACGTACGGATCTTGAAGGTGTGGAAACAGTATCTGAATGGTGTCGAGACATTGGAAATGGTGGTTGTAGATGATATGGTATGTAAATTCTCATTCAAATCTGTATAGTATTCTTTTTATATTAGATTCGAACTACTATGTATTACTAATTTAACATTCAGTGATTAATTATGTTTTTTAATCTTATGTATCTTGCAGAATCAAACTATGCATGTTTCTCTAAAGAAAGAGTACATCAAAAAACACGAAAACGTGTTGGAGGAAGGGTTAAGTAAGATCATTACTAACTTTCAGGTTGCACACAATGGTGGAAAGTTTCGTACGACTCCTCATGTCTACAAGATCCAATTCGCAAGCACAACCAGCCGAGGATATTGATCCTAATATCCTTGGATTGAAATTCGTAAAATTCTCGGACATTCATGAGGGCAAACTCAATCCGGATTTCTTAATAGGTATTTTGATGTAATAACTATATATTGATGGTCGTACTAATAACGATTATTCTAATATGTTTAATTACAGATGTTGTTGGTCAGATTGTTAGTATTGGGGAGGTCGAAATCCTCAATGTTAACAAGAAGCAGACAAAAAGACTTACCATGGAAATCAGAGACACTGAGTAAGAATCTATGTTTTTATACTTTAGATTTTATTAGTACAACTAAATCCTTAAAACTTTAACATGTGTAGAAATGTTCGCCTAAACTGTGTGCTATGGGGACCTTATGCTTCAAATCTGGAGAGTTTGGCAACTAATACAACCGAAGCTGTTTTTGTTGTTGTCTTGCGGTTTTCAAAGCTAAGGCTTTACCAAGGTAACATCATCAAATCATATGATATTTAAATATTTCCTCATCTACTAACTGTTTTTATAAGTCATCCAGGTGTTTGGAGTGTTGGGAATTGTTACAATTGTTCAACTGTTTTAACTAATCCAGATATCCCTGAGGTTTTAGCGTTCAAAGAAAAGTATTGCACTAAACCCTAATTTATTTATTAATAGATAACATTGCATACATAATATATTCATTTCCTTATTAACCTTTATGTAGGCTACCTGCTGATGGTGTTACTCTATCCTACACACATCCAAATCAGTTGACAATCGTCAATTCTGTCTCTGTTCGTGATGATTTCTTCTTACATAGTCCTCGAAGGACTATAAGTGAGATAATAGCTGCATCTGAGGTTAAATATTTTAGATTGTTTGTAATTGTTTTATATCATTTAAAATTATTCTATAATGAAATCTGATATTTTTACCTTCTAGGTTGGAAAATGTGTTACCATGGCTACAATCATGTCAATTGACACCGAGTTTGGTTGGTATTACATGTCCTGTAAAACCTGTTCAAAAAAAGTTCTTCCTCATAATATGGATGCAATGAGGGAGAAATATCCCGGTAGACCTTTCAAGAAACAGTTATGGAAGTGTGGTAAATGTAATACTGATGTTGAAGAAGTCATTCCAGCGTAAGTACATAATGTTACATCTTATTAGTAACATTTATTAATATTATTTGTATTTATATTAGATTTTACAATATGCAGGTTCATGCTTACATTCGTGTAATGGATAACACTGGAGAAACGAAATTTCTTTTATTTGATAAGCTTGCTATGGAAGTTGTCAATCAGACTGCCTCTCAACTTACTCAATCGGTAGATGAGGTATATTTTTCTCATCAACTGTCTATATATCAATCCGTTTTTGTCATTATCGTTTAACTTAATTGTTATTCTATAATTATTTTTTTATAGATTCAGGATCCGGATGTTTTGCCTATGTCCCTGAGCAACATATGTGGGAAGACTTATCTTTTTAAGGTTGCTATTGAAAGTTCAAACATTGTCTTCAATAGTGACACTTACAAGGTTATGAAGATCGTTACACAAAGTGACCTGGTGAAGGAGTTTTCAGAAATTTCTGTGTCTCAGGTCATGAACATAAGATCATACAAATATGTGTTCAACTTATAACGCATATCTCTTATTACTAAAATATTTTGTGTCTGCTCACAGAACACTATTGAAGCTAAACATGAAGAACACGTTCTGACATCTCTCACTACAGAGGTTGGTATTCTTCTCGATATCGGATCCATAATCATACTTTTTATAATATATTTTTTATAAGATATTCTTCTATATACTGAAGATCATACTTTTTATAATATACTAGATATTTTTAATTAATTTTCTGTTACTTATAGGCTCCACTCTAGCTTGAAGATGACTATGAGGATGTGAAGACACCGTCCTCGAAATGCAAAAGCAATGATAGTGAAGAGATCGGAAATGACAGTGGGGAGCTTTCTGTAGCTTCAAAGAAAACCAAAAATGATTTCAAAAATGGAGATGATGCGAAACATACTGTGCTGAAGCCGGTCAAGAAAGAAAAACCAGATGGTTGAAGAAGTGTGATATCTTTATTCATCCTGCTTCCATTTGTCTACTATTTCGTTTCCTTTATTTTCTTAATTGAATTTTTCACATTTTATGCTGTTCGTTTTATAAGTTTCAATTTAATATTTTGATGTTTTGAAATATTATTAATAAAGCAGGTTATCTAAATTTGGCTGTTATTTCTGATGTCTACACACCATTAAAATGTTTACGGTTATTTAATCCTTAGATATTATTGACACACGATAACACAGTAGTGCAATTTTTATGATTTACATATTTTTAATAATATGTTACCATAACCTAATACAACCGAAGGTAACCTCAAATGTAACAATTATTGACGTTATGATCTCACCTAAACACGCAACTCTTCTATTTAAATCAAATGTTGAAAATAACACTGCTTTATAGTACTTTTCGATATGATTCGATATACTTTAGATTTTTCGAAGCATGTATAACTTTAGATGATTGTTAATAATAATTTTTTATTGTTATTAATACTGTTTTTAGTACCAATTAGAATGTATGATTCAAAAATTTTAGATTTGCCCGCTTATTGGTATATGTTGAAATAATTTAAGTTGTTATTAAAGATATGAAGTTATTCCAAATATTTTGAATGTAAGTTATGGTAACAGAATTTCAAATTATTCCTACTATTAAGAAACTCATACTAATGATTTTGAATATAATTAGTTAAGCGAATATATGTAAGTGTTTTACCTCTAATTAGTACCAAGTGGAATGTATGATTCGACAATTTTAAAAGTTCCCGCTTATTGGTATATTTTGAAATAATTGAAGTTGTTATTAAATATATGAAGTTTTTCAAATATTTTGAATGTTAGTTATGGTAACAGAATTTCAAATTATTCCTACTATTAAGAAACTCATACTAATGATTTTGAAGATAATTAGTTAAGCAAATATATGTAAGTGTTTTACCTCTAATTAGTACCAAGTGGAATGTATGATTCGAAAATTTTAAAAGTTCTCGCTTATTGGTATATTTTGAAATAATTGAAGTTGTTATTAAATATATGAAGTTTTTCAAATATTTTGAATGGTAGTTATGGTAACTGAATTTCAAATTATTCATAATATTAAGAAACTCCTACTAATGATTTTGAAAATAATTCGTTAATCGAATATATGTAATGGTTTTACCCCTGATTTGATTGCCTGTATATAGCAACTAGATTACAAATTATGGAGTATTTGATATGCAATAATTGAGAAACATTCCACTATTGTTATCTTCTTTCCAATATAATCTACTATATTGGAAATATCTATGTTTGAATCAAGTATCTCAAGCAAATAACGAGATATGAGAAAAAGTAGTGTTCTCGGTGAAAATTCAGCTACCGAAGACGGACGATCATCAAAGAAATCAAAGAAAGATAGAAGTTTGGTTGGTACGAACATACTATTTTTAGAATAATTATACTATTCATTTGTTAGCATTTGTATTTGTTGTCAATCGTATGTTACATGCAAAATTACAGATTCCATCAATAATGATGATAACAATGCGCAATCAAGTAAAACAACTCACCAGCCTGCTGTTCGTGTTGCATTTAATACAATACTTAGAGATCTCACGAACTCAAGCAACACGGAAAGGAGTTCTCAGTCTACCATGACACAACAACTTAATCGCAGTTAGTTGTAGTTCCTTATGTAATCATAAGTATTGTATTTGTATTGAACTTTATATTTTCTTGCTAACATTGTTTAACAATTCCAGATTACGCTCGCCCTTCGAATAAAGAGAACATAACACAAGGCTTAATTGTCAATGACTCTTCTACAATTTCAAATAGATCAGGTTTCTTGAAATTGTATTTTGAACCTGTTCATTATATCATTCCTCTAACTACTTATACAACTCTAATATTGATGTTGACACTGTTCAAATTACAGTGTTATGCTTCACTGATTGTACAAATCAGAATCAGGGTCCGAAAGCTATACCAACGCGTAAATGTCTGACTACTACTCAGATACCAACGCAAGCAAGTTTTGTAACTACGCCAGGAGATTCAAATATAAGTTGTATACCAATTTCTACAGAATTTGGTACCTCTCAATTATCACGAAGTAGACCACCATTGTCTCGGCTAGCATCCAAATCTAAATCTGCGAGTAAGAATTCTTTGTTATCACATCTATAAATAATATTGTTCTTAACATTATATATCTAAACGTCATTTTATATAAACAGTACTATTAAAAACAAAAACAACCAAAACAACCAAAACAAAGGTCTTTCGAAATTTGGAGTTGTCATGTATCCTTACCTAGATTTTTGTTATATATATTGTCCTTATTACAAGTTTATATATTGGTATTTGGATTTAATTTTCGTTTTAGTTACAAAAGTATCCTTGACCTCTCCAAGTTAAACTTTGGTGGAATAACTCTGTCTTCAAAATTTCTGAATCGATTAAAGGCAAAAAAATGCATAACACTGTTTTCGAGCAACAGAGAATTGCAAGATTAAACAGGAAGCAAAAAATCGATACAACTAAGAATTCCTGCACTCAGGCCTCAGGTAATCACTCATTAAATATGTAAAACTTATTAATAACTAATACATTATTATTATTTTATATAGATTTTTTATTAAAAAATAAATAGTGCCCGTGTTTATAAATTGTTCTTATTATATTATTATTTATAGTATTAACTCAGGAAAATCAAAATACTACTATTAACCGGGAGCATGATAGTCTACAAATTCATGATGACCAAGAAAGTTTCAGTGAAAACGATCAATCTGATGATGACCTAGACTCTGGAAATGTTGAAATATCTGATGATCAACAACAAAATATGCGACCTACAATCCAGGATAATGGTAATCATTTTCTTCAAAACATTACCGTCTTGGATATATTTTTTGACTATACCTGTTATTCCCAGAGTCTATCATCTTTAGCAGACACTATTGTGATTTATTTTTTCAGGTTATCATGATGATGGTGATCCATTATTTGAATGCAAGCACTGTACGGCCCGTATGTGGTTTAATGAGAGGATTGGCAAAAAAAGGAGAGGAAAGAATTATATTTTTACACTATGCTGTATGCAGGGAAAAGTTAAGTTGCCTCTCTTACAACAGCCACCTCCTCTGATGTTGTATTTATTCTGCAGCGATGATGAGATTTGCAGACATTTCCGTGAAAACCTTAGAGCTTACAATATGATGTTTTCATTTACTTCTATTGGTGGTAAGGTCAATTATGATGTAAACAAAGGAAGAGGTCCACAGATTTTCCAGCTTCATGGAGAGAATTACCATCTAATTGGAAGTTTGATGCCAAACAGAAACGATAAGCTGAAGTTTCTACAACTCTACATACATGATACACTCAATGAGATACGCAATAGAGAGCTTTCAATCAGGTTTAATTTATTATGTCTGTTTATTATAACAATTAATTTAATGCTTAATATTACATTTCTGATGCCTAATGTCTTACATGATATCAAATGCAGTAAAAATCACAAAGTTTCCAACAAGTTAAGGCCAGAACTAATTGAAGCTCTGATTCAGATGTTAGATCATTTTAATCCGATGGTGAAAGCTTTTCGTTCTTACAAGGATAGATTTCATGTTGATCAGCCAGAAGACAATGCCAAGTTGGTATTGGTAGCAAATAGAAATAAGGACGCACGCACTCATAACATGCCTACGTCATCCGAAGTTGCTGCTTTAATACCAAGAGATTTCCCTGAAGGAATGGATAAACGAGATATTGTGTTAGAAACAATAGAAGGAAAGCTAAGGAGGATTAGTGAGCTATATGTTGGGTATCTCGCACTTCAATACCCTCTGTTGTTTCCTTATGGTGAAGATGGTTTTCAGGTTGGTATTGAAGATGGATTTGACGATGGAAAAGAACGCAAAAGGAAAACGATTAGCATGAGAGAGTTCTATGCCTTTCGCATACAAGATAGGTTATTTAGACAGTTTAATGTATTTCTATTTCATACATTATTCTTAATTCATAATAAAATTAATTCTATTGTTATTTCCATGATTTTAATTTTTTAATATCGACACTGAATTCAAATGCGTATGCCATTTTACATCACATTCGTGATTTTTTTTGTCTAAACACATCAATATCTAATATGAATTACCGAATAATATTTTACTATTTAATAACTAACAAATAACCAACAAAATAATATAACACAGTAACAAAAAAATGTTAAAAACAACTACAATACAACATTCCTCTATACACAACTATTAATCTAACTCTAAATTATATAGAATGTAGTATAAATCATTAGTTTATAAATATAGTATGTCCACATACGTTAAAACTAGATATCTAAACTGATTACAACATAATTCCGTGCACAGTACGTGTCAAAATCTAGTTATATATTAAAAAACATCATAATACAAAAAAAAAACAAACATAAGCAATCAATAAAAAAAGAAATGTTATTGATGAAAAAATATATTGTTGACATGTCGAGACTATCTGTTGCCAACACCATATGGGAAGGAGAGTTCCCACATCGAATATCGAATAAAAAGAAAAAAAACAGATATATAGTTTCTTTATAAATAGCAATATCTAATAGAAAATCAAGCATACAGATTCAGTAAATTTTTTGGGCTTATTTAAAAGCCTACAACATTGCTGGGTTTGACCACACTAGTCGATGTTGTTGAGAATTAAAGCATATATTTATGCATCTTCATATATTATCTCTATATATTGTATTATATTATATATAGAGATTATGGGAGGAAGAAGAAGTGGGGTGAGACACGAGAGCAAGAGAGGAGAGAAGAGGGAAATCTCTTCTTCTTATTCACTCGTTCTTCTTACATCAATTACAATGTGCAACAATACATATATATTGAAGAAATAAACTCATTAAATAATAAGGAGTAAGTCGGTCAAAATGAAGAGGCGGTGGTGATGGATAATTATCCATAACACTCCCTCTTAATTATCCATCATTTTATTAA